CATCCATCCTTTCAACCAACCACTTATAATCCATCCATCCATCCATCCATCCATCCATCCATCCATCCATCCATCCATCCATCCATCCATCCATCCATCCTTTCAACCATCAATTCAACATCATCCATCCATCCATCCATCCATCATCCATCCATCCATCCATCCATCCATCCATCCATCCTTTCAATCATCCATCCATCCATCCATCCATCCATCCAACAATCTATTTATCATTCATCCATCCATCCTTTCAACCAACCACTTATAATCCATCCATCCATCCATCCATCCATCCATCCATCCATCCATCCATCCATGCATTTCCTCCTGATGTGAAGCTGATTAGCAAAATTAACAGCTCCAGGAGAGAAACGAAGACATCCCTCTTCCCAGAGATAGTCTGCAGCTCCTCCTGGGGGATCTCTAAGTATTCCCAGGGAGGTAAAATAATTCTGTCAGCAAACTGGTCTTTGGGCTCTCGTTGTAAAAGGAGGCATCCTAAACTGATACCGAATCTCTTCAACTGACTCTTGTCAGCATGGAACTCAATCARCCACCCAACAGAGGAGGCTCAGTTCAGTCACTTGTACTAAGGATCTTGTTCTTTTTAGTCAAGAGCCACAGCTCATAGGCATAAATGGAGGTTGGAACATAGATGGACCATGAAGTCAAGGGCCTGGACTTTCAGCTCACATGAAAGACAGGAACCACACCTTCGTTACTGCCCTGATTTATCAGTCTATCTCTTCCTCTGTTCTACCATTGTTGACGAAGCCAACAGACCCTAAAGTTCCCAAACCTGCTCTCAGTGACTGTGTTGAGATCCTGTTAAAGAACACTACAAACAAGATTGAAGACAAAGGGCAAGCTTGTCAAAAAAATTGTGTGGTTACCAATGGTTGTGGGAGAAATACAAAAGCAAGAAGTTGTGATAATCTGTAAGGCAACAGTAGAGCAGAGAGACAGAGTGAATAAGCAAGTGTGTCAATGAGCAATTCACAAAGAGACAAGGTGTCAGAGCAGAGAAACAGAAGGACCTAAAGAAAGAGCAGGAAGTGAGAAAAGAAGTGACAGGAAGGATAAAAATTGGATGGCTGTGGGTGAAGAAAGAAAAAATGGACAGAGGAGAAAGGTGTAGAAGGGAGAAAAGCTAAGGAAAATGCAGTGAGTGAGACACAGAAAGATGATTCTCTTGGGAAGTGGCCTATTTTTCAAATGAATGCATACGAACCCTGAACAGTGTTGCATTAATGCTGGAACAAAATAACATTCGGCCCAAATGGATCCGCTTAAAACTGGATGTTCTCATTCTGAACGACACACGGCGCTATCTGAAGATGCCTTTTATCTTTGCAAAGTAAAAATACGTTTTGCTGTTACTTTTGCTACAGCCTGTCTGACTGCAAAGATCTGGAAAAATGGGAACCCTTTTTTTAAATTATTCATCTATTGGATCATGGTAGCTACAGGGGAAGCTCTCCACTGACCAAAAAAATCATCCGAGACTACTGTCCAGGTCTCAAACTGCTTCAAATCTTAAATTCAGAAGTGTACTCCAGTAGATTAAACTATAAACATTGGTTCAAAGTGGGTTAAAAAAGAGCCAAGGTGGGATACGAAATAAGGTGCACACTCCAGAATACAGTTTTGCAAGGCATAATTTTTAAATAATTGTACAATCATTATGTGGCCCTATGGCTTGCAGGTGGCTTTATCACAAAACACTCAATTTAGTGAGACTGCAACATAGAATTAGGCTTTTTTTGGTAGTCGTAGGCAAAAGAGATACAACCTAAAGGCATCTAAAATATATTAAGCAACAAATTCCAAGAGTTTTGAATTGAATTAAAGCTTCATGATATTGTGTATAACATCATTTTTAAGGTGCATTTTGCCAGTGTTGTATAAAGTACCACAAAGTGATACTTGAGTAAAAGTACAAGTTTCTTACCAAAAAATTACTTTGGTAAAAGTTAAAGTCTCCTTTAGGAATATTACTTGAGTAAAAGTACAAGTATCTTATAAAACTTACTTTGGTAAAAGTTAAAGTCTCCTTTAGGAATATTACTTGAGTAAAATTCTTAAATTATCTGATATTTTTTTGTACTGAAGTATTAAAAGTAAAAGTATTGATTTAAAATGAGCAGTTAGATTTTCTGTAAGGACATTTATGAGGAGGTGACCTCCCCAAACGATGCAGAAATGACTTTTGTTATAAAATAATTGATTGATGTTAAATTTAGGATGCACTAGTCCAGCTGTTTCAGTTTATATACATATATCAAGGC